TTCTTAAGAACTGCATACTGCCTTAAGGAATTTTGACACAAAAAAATTGTTTGCCATTTCTTGTTTTCGTAATTTTATATGAAGTTTTTGCTTTTCTTGAGAGATGGATACTAAGCTTTGAGAGAAGATTGCGTTTTTATGACAGTCTTAAATTGTTTGTAATCTACAAAATTAAATATGAAAATAACGGTTATGTCATAATCGGAAAAAATAAAAATCTTAAAATAACTATTATTCTTAATGTTGAGAAATCCAACTTTAACGGTTAATTTTTTTTTTTTTTATTGTAAAGATCATAACCGTTACGGACACAGCTCCTTCTAAATACCAACAGATGGCGATTTAAAAATGTCTTAATTTATATTTACGCTTAGTACAAATAGTTTGTGTACACATTTCCTGCTGGGCTCCTTTTCATACTGTGTTTATGCATTTACGGAACTCAATACATATCTGTGTCTTTGAATTTTCATTGGTTTTTTTTTGTATTGACTTTTCTGTAATAACACTGACCGGGCGTGTGTTGCACTTTGCAAACAAATCGGCTGATTAAAAGTTTCACTATGTGAGTGGGTTACCTGGCATTCTGGCAGTACGGTTTTGCCAACTGGTCGGCTAATTAGTGAGCGTTTGAATGCTGCATGTGTGACGACGCTGTTGTTAGCCACGCGCTAATGCGTCTTGGTTGTATTCTTTGTACTTACTACTACAGTTATTTTTGTTAAAATGTAAACTTTACTTTTTTTTTATAAGTATTTTTTCCATGCAACAATTGCTTCCTGGGTAAAATTTAATATTTAAATATGCAAGATTAATAATCTACAAAATAAAAATATTATTTTTTTCTTGGCAGCGCTGAATTAATAATATTTAAAATATGCCAAAGAAGTTCTGCATTAATGGTTGCACTAAACTTTCAGAAATATAATAGGCTGCGGAGCAGGGCAGAGGAATTCTTTATTTATAGAAACCAGAACAGAAGAAACGGGTGCTCCCTATCAACAACCGGCAACTGTTTCTGAGAGAAGGTTATTAACTTTCATATTGATGAAATATTTTTGATCAGTGCAATAAATATAAATGCTAAAAGCTAGTAAGCTTGTTGTTTTTTTACGGCATACTAGCACTGCTAACTAGCTAAATACATATATATATATATTGCTATTGAAAATTTTTTAAATTGCTTGAAAAAATTGTAAACCTCTCAACAAAGAGTTCAAATAAAAAAAAAAAACAACAAAATAAGCAAAATTCTCAAGAAGAGCCAACATAAAATGTCTGCGGATATTTTTTTTTAGGTATAAAAGCAAAATCCACTAAAATTCGTACCTTACTAATCACTTTAAATATTGCACGAATCATACTAGTACATTGATACAAACATAAATAAATATGTACTTATGTAGATATACATACATACATAATTCGAAGCAGAGGTATGTAAATACATACATACATACTAGTTTTACAAATCACTGACCCTGGGATGCTTGCGTGCGACTGCGTATAATTTTAAATTCATTTGATTTAGGTTAAAAGCGCCAAAGTACTAATTTGAATATTTAAAGATGCCAACGTATATGATTCGGTATATTTTAGGCATTGGAAAAAGAAGAAAGTTCAAGGTGGCTTATATGGGGAAAGAGGTCAGGGTCACGTGAGATTTATTTGAGTCGCATTAAAATTTGTTACAACTGGGGAGAATAACTGCAGAATTGGCATATTTTTTATTTGGTCTAGAATATTTTAATTTTATCATGACTGCAGCTTTTCAAATTATGCCAATGTAGATTAAAGAAAAAATAAAAAATCAGTTAGAAAAAGATCAGAAAAAAATTTTAATAATTAAATATAAGCAAATTGAGTTCATCATTTAGCAGTGTTGTTTTTATAAAACACTGTCATATATATGTATGTATAACTAAATATGTATAGAAATAAGTACTAATGTTTGTCTACTTTTTAGCCAATTTTTTCTTAATTTTATTTCAAACAAAGCAAACATTGATTGGCAAACTGATTGAATTGCTGGTGCTGTTGTTACGGCCATTGCAACAACTTCACGGTTGCTATCACTAAATTTTTTTTGTTGGTTTATGAGTTAAACATACTGAAGCATTAAATTACAAAATTTTTACGTTTTGTATTATCATTTTCTTGTATGTACATATGTATATACCTATTCATTTCATTTTAATTTAGCTCTACGTACATACATATGTGTCTGTCTGCACATGTTGTTGCTTACGAATCAGATGCTGCTGTACTCAGGATGGCCAGCTTCACTGATCACCCAGTTCGTTTCATTTTGGGTTTCAATATTTTGCAATATGATTTAAATGTGAAACCTATGAAGTAGCCAGCCATCACCCATCAGCCAGCAGCAGCAATATTCAACACTTGAAAATCAACAAAAATACAACGCAATGTAAGATGAATTGAAAAGAGCAAGCCATACATACAAACATACAAACATGCATACATACATACATACGTACATATAAAAGTGAAAAAAAAAACACCAAACAATAGTGAACCGAAATGAAGCAGCAAATGATGAGACCAAAGTGATCAACTTCGGCGGCTGGCTACTGCACCAAAAGCCAACAACATCGTCCGTCCCCCAATAACCAACCGATCAACGCAGTTACCAACTTGACGAGTAATTCGTCGAACGGGCACAAATATCTACGCGTGTCTGTTTTTTTTTTGTTTTTAATCTGGTTGTTGTTGTTGTCGCGTCTTCTTCTGCTTTTTATTTAAGTTTTGTAATTTGACCATGAATATTTTTTCCCAATTTATTTTTTCTCGTTTTCGTTTTTTTTTCAATTTTAATATTTTCTTCTGTATTTTGCTCGTATGCACATACATACATATATCATCGGTTTAGTATATCTGGTATATGTTTTAAAGTTGAAATTGTAATATGCCCCAATTCTTTCAACTCATAAATGATGCAGAAATACGGTATTAAAAATGCAGCGAAAACAAGCAGAAAAAAGTACATTCAAAAAAATAAAAAAATATTTACACTTGCATGCATACATATACATATGTATGTTGGTAAAGAGACAAAATTCATTGCTGGTCTAAACAATCTTCTGACCCAAATTTTCGGCTATCGCGAGAGCTCCACGTGTACTATTTACATACACACATACTTGTACATACTCTCAACTGTCCTACATGTGAGGGTCGCCTCATTGGTAGGTTGCTAAAGGGGTGTGCGGTTTGTATTGGTGAGTCAAATAGGAAAATGTTTTACTTTGCAAAATTTTGGCCTATTTTTTAATTGTCTTTTTTTTGGCTTTCGCATGAGCTACAGCGAATTATTACGAAAATGTCGTGCCTTCTTGCACATTTATGTACATACATACATACGTAGGTAAGTAAGTGTGTGTGTGTGTAATTTCGCATAAATATTTTCTTTAAAGAAATCATGATCGCTGACGAAGCTTCGTGGAACGCGTGTTCTTTATTTTGCTGAAGTATAGTTGAAAAATGCGCAGGTGTCATACAAAACCTGTTTAGAAACGATTTATAAAAGTCTGTAAAAGTAGCCGGCTATCCTTGAACTATACTTCGGTTCCTTACTTTGATAAAGCAGTGGCTGTTGACAAATCCTTTCTTATGAGGCATAGTTAATTGGCACATTGATGATTACAATATTTGTTTTAACCTAACACAACCTAACTTAACATTTTTGCATACTTAAACAAAAAATAAATAAATAAAATGGCTTCTAGCTGACAACGTTCTTACAGCAAACAAGCGTTATCGCACACCATCTTCAAATCCGAAAATATAACCGCTTGGGGATCGTACAGAATCAATGTAATTAATACAAAAAAGGAGATAAAACAGTAGTTTTCCAGCTAGAGTATAATCACGAAGAAATAAATATTGGAGATAAATCTTACAAAGTTATTTTTGTAAAAAAATCGACCTTCATTTTTTTAAGTTGTGCCCCTTAAAAAACGTGCGCGATATGTAAAATATCTTTTTAATTTAAACAAATCATATAACGGTATTGTTTTATTTTATCAAATGTTTTTTTTTTCAATATGGAGGTATTTTCACTTTTCTTTTGATGATTAAAAAAAAGTCGGGCTCATGTTATGTTATTTTTTTACTGAATCTCTTTTTAATATAATTTAATTTTGTTTTTATTAATATTTGTTATATTTAATTTTGTTTGAGGTAATTTTTCTTAGCTTTGTTTTATTTTGTTTTATCTCTTTTTATAAAATTGTTTCTATTTATATTGCTTTTTGTTACAAATTGTTTTATTTAATTTTTCTTTTCTTTCATTATTTTTGTTCTCATTTGTTTTATTTTAATTCTTTTAACTTTTTGTTTTAATTAAATGGGTATTACAT